TTTTAAGAAAATGGGAGACTCCATGGGTTGAAAAGGGACCAAGAAAGTTGCACTAAGGAATTCTGTTTCCCCATCATAACAATGAGCCTTCGAGGACCACAAGATTTCATTGGGAAACCTTACCCCATCCACCCTACAGTCCTGATTGTATCCCTTCCAAATATATATTCCAAATCTCAAAGAACAATGTAAATGGCCCTGTTTTGAGTCCTTAGAGGATGCCAAAACTGCTGTTTTTGACATCTTATGAATCAAAGAGTAAGAATGTTTCAGGGAAAGGTTAGGGATGGAAATCCTGCCTTTCCAATTGTATACAAATGACTTCCGAAAGTCTGTGGAAAAGTGGAATTAAAAGATAATGGAATCTTCCCACAAACTTTCAGAAGCCCCCTGGATAGTTGGAGGCTGTGTCAAGAGTCAGTAATTTCACACTTTGATATATATGTTTGCTTCCTGAAGGTTGTTATGATTTGTAGCAATAATTTTGACATCCACTCCTATGTGCCTAGTAGCCTGGTGGCTACCATGGTGAATGCTAACGTATAAGTGATATCCTCAAAGCGATTTTAATATCAAAAGAATACCCGCCATATTTTAAAGACACATGGAAGAGCCCAAGGAAGTGAGAGATGTTGACTAAAGCATTAGTAGTGAGACACCCAGGAGACCCTCATAGCTTAGGGCAGTGCAAGGAGACTTCACGGAGGAGTTCAGTTGTAAGTTGGTCTTGAAGTACGTGTTAGGATGGGCGGAGAGGGGAAGATAATTCCAGACCAAGGCCAATGGGTGGCCATAGAGCCAGCCTGAATCAAGAACAAGACCGCATGAGCAGCAGCAACTTCTCTAGCTTTTCCGAAGTTCTTGACCTAAGATCATCCCATTTAATCTTCACAATTGTATCTCTGAGACAAATGGCATTACAATTACTCTCCAGAGGAGGAAACCAAAGTTCTGAGAGCTGCAGTGCCCAAGACCACAAAACTGTCCAGCAGCAGAATGAGAAGCAAGATTTCAACTTTGGAGTCCTCTGATGCTGTGCCTTGAGAAGGCAGGCCAAAAGACTGCAGAAACTAAATGAGCTCAAGTCTCTTCAGATGTCATCACTCTAAGGAGCCCCAGGGGTATGACAGGCTTGGCTGCTAACTGCAAGGTGGGTAGTTCAAACCCACCAGGCCTTCTGAGGGAGAAAGATGCGACTATCTGGCCCCATAAAGATGTGTAGTCTTGAAACCCTTGATATGGTGGTGATGACTTAGAATGGGCTCTACGGCAGTGGGTTTGGTTTGCCATCACTCTTACAAATACATATTCACAGCAGACCTGGAGCGAAACAGTGTCTTGTCTTGAAATCAGCCCCATTATCCGTAAATTGTAGGTAAGAAACAAAGGATCAGATAGATCAAGTTGTGTTTGTTTTTCAAGGTCACACAAATTCAAGGTTAATTTCAGGGTTGGGATTGGTTGATCTTTCCCTTGCCTTATTCCCTTCCTCCCCCTCCTCTCCTTCCTTCTTCTATCACCCTTCCTTCCTCTGTTGTTTTGCTTAGCTAACTCATTCCATTTTTCCCCCAGTTTCCAAACATTCTTTTCCTCCCTGGACTTCTCAAGTTGACATTGTCTCCCTTTTACCCACACTCCCCACCACCACTGTGTCCCCCACCTACCCCACCCCCGCCAAACCCTTATTTTACTAGCTCTTCTTATAGGTTCATCAATCCTCCGTTTCACATACTCCAAAACAGAAATACATATAACACAAATTCAAGAGGGCAACCCCCAATGACATAACACATAGCATAATGTGACTTAACATATTAGAGGTGAACCCTAATATGAATAAACAAAAAAGAAATACAGGATTGATGAACCTATAGGGACAACAAGTAGAATAAGGGTTTTGTGGGGATAGGGGTACATTGGTCGTGGTGGTAATTGGGAGATGATTTCAAGGAGTCCTGGAAGAAAAAGAATGTTTGGAAATGGACTAAGGTAGCAATTGTTTAATTCTGCTTGACATGACTGAACTATGGAATGATATACGTATTAGCTCCCACTTAATTATATATATA